TCACCTAAATATACATTATAAGGGGGCGTATCCTCACTTTTCAGCCCCAATTCCTCCACCAATCTGGTGGAAATAAGGCTATGACTTGCCCCACTGTCAATCAACACCCATACCTTTCTCCCTTGCACCCAACCTTGCAGTTTCATTGTTTTAGACTGTGTTAAACCACCTGCAGATAATACAGATAACTCCATGTTTTTTTGTTCGATTTCGGGACCCTCCTCTACCTCATCTTCTTCGTCTTCCTGCCCTCCGCCGGCGTTGGCAGACCCCTCCGACGATCCCCGATACGTCTCCGTCCCCGCGACTGTCCCCGAGCTTGAGTTACATCTTCCCCATGCCGTACCTCCTTTCCCCACCATTCCGCCAAACCTCTGCGTCAGATCGTCGGTGAACGTCTTCTAAGTCGGGTGTCTGGTTTTCTTCCGCCAGAAGCGGAACCAATAACTCGCTAAACATAAGGCATCCATGCATCTATAGACGAACTTCATCTTCTCTTTCTCCGTCACGCTCTGGAGGTCGAAGATTTTCTCCGCCTTTGCAATCCAGCTCATGGGATCCGTACCTTCAAAAGTAGGTAGTTCAACGTGCTTCCTCCAATTGCGTTGAACTTCTCCTTTGTCTTCTTCCGATTCCTCCTTCGAGTTTTCCGGCGGTCGTCGTTCGCGTCCAACAGTGATGGACTCACGACTTCCTTCGGAGCTCCGATGCTGGTTCCGGATTCGTCATTCTCGAGCGCGGCCAAACGCTTGGAATTTGCAAGTTATCGCTCTCATCTCCGCTTTCAACTCTTCTACTGTCGATTCAATCGCAACCATCCGTCCCTCTATCCTTCCTTCTAGTGCGTTTAGTTTCCCCTCCATTCTTCTTCTTCACGCGCTCTGATTGCTCCTCCAATACCGATCCGGCAGGTCGGACCAACTTGTTAGGTTCCTTTGTTCAGGAAACCAAACAGAACACTCTCTTCTCACAATAACTCTTAACAAGAGAAGAAGATGAAAGTATTTGTATGTATATTATTGAATCTGTAATGTATATAAAGAGATATACAATTATAAGTCCCAAGGAAGCCTCCCTTCCACCACTGGAAAATGTCCGGTCTATACCCACAAGGAAAATATCTGATAATCCTCTCTCCACCTATTAAGTTATTATTTATACCCTCTCTCTACTAACAACTAACTTCTTTTATTCCTAACACTATAATACACTTTTAAAGTCCTATTGGTGTCCTGTGGTTCAACATATCTCCAAACATAAGGACATGTAATTAAACAAGTTTTATATACAGAAGCATATTTTTACTGAACACCGCCAAACATAAGGCATTTAATAGTTTTTTCAACATACACTAGACGGATTTTTAAGTCTTTGAGCTTCATCAATGATTGCATACTGCCATGGTATTTGAGAAAGAAAATCCTGATCCACCAGTGCAATGTCATATGAAGTCAATAGCACATCAAAAGGCAACAAGACCTGCTAAAAGTTGCAGAAAATGAAAATTAGTAGACATTCAAACACCCTTAATACTAGGTTTTGAAAAAGACATTTCATGCCATTGCACACATCAAAAGGCTATAAGACCTGATAAAAGTTCAACCAAATAATAATTAGTAGATATTCTAAAACATATACTACTAACAACCATACTACTACGTTTTGAAAAGGACTTTTCATGTGGTTGACATTTATGTCCAATTCCAATCACTTCATTATTTTCTTTTCCTCCTATTGCGGTTTCCTCAAAATGAGAGAGATGTTACACTCAAATTATATTATTTGTGCTTGTTGATTGCTAAAGATCATAATCCTTCTCCACTTGGTAAGTCACCAGGTTATACAAAAAAGTTGTTTTCCACGGTATTCCCATGTTACAACTTCCACAACAATAACCAAACATTGTTTTTTAATAAATGTCATCCAGAACTCCAGATTCAAAGAGCATACGGGATAGTATAATTTACTCACATTGATTGTTGATGACTGTCTTGCTACATGTTCATGTATTTTCATGCGTAGATTGCGCCTATTTTCTTTATCACCAACATATTTGAACACTGTTAGTTTGGGGGTAAATTTAACTATCTCTAAGACCCACCCCTCAGTCACACTTAGAGGACATATAACCACTGAAAACAAAACAAAAGCATCAGAGAGCTAAATATTTAACAAAACACAGATTACAAGATAAAAATATAAAATTCTTAAATTAAACCAAGATTCCTTCACTCACAAAATGGCCCATCAGACAACTGGCACACTTTTAAATAGCTTAAAAAGGAGATAGCTTGCAAAGTCTTGCCCAGTCCCATCTGTCCATATCAAAAACAAACATAAAAATTAACAAAACTAGGATCACATCTTGATTTTGTATTTCAATAAGAATATTGTGAACCTCGTATTCGGCCTTACATTTGGTGAATTAGGGAAAAACAAGACCCAAGAGAAATTAAAAAGCATGCACAGCTCTTAGAAGTTAACCATTTTTAAGATAATACAGCTCTTTGTATATGAACAAACAAGATATGAAACAATGGTGATAAATAATCATGCAGCTCAGAAGCAACAAAAACAATAGATGTTTGCATGACATGACTAAATTCACCTCCATTAGTTCATCAAAAATACTGAAACTCTTAGACAAGTAAACTGCAATTTCAAGAAACATATGATATTGATAAACATGACACAGACAGCACTTCTGCCAGGTAAAATATACTGATTTTACATAACAAAATGACAATAATGCCGAAAGGAAAACTTGGATCTGTACAAGGGACTGTTCCCTTCTTAGGTTCTCTTTAGGTTTTCTAATCTGTAATTACTGCCATGAGCAGCTAGACCTCTTCATTGGGATTGTATGTTATCTTCATCTCTGAAATATTCTAGTGATATATATATATATATATATATATATATATATAGACATATGTAGATATATTTATTCAGTTGTTCACTTCCATTCGATATTGTTATATTCATTTTGTGTTTAATGCTTATTGTTAGATATATTGCATGTTAATTAAGGAAACAAGGCCCCTATGTTAATTATGTTATTTTTACATATTCATTTGTATTTGGGCTTAGCCCACATTCTCATTATTATAAATATATTACCCTATATGTATTTTCTACAAAAGGGAGATTAATCCTATACCTAGTTTTACTATATTCAATATGATTTCTAGAACCTAAAGCTTTTGATAGTCAATATTTGAATTTTGAATTCATTAAGAGAGGATTTTCTTAGTTATTGTCATAAAACACTGGTTCTTATCAAAGATTGAGATCTCTGTAATGAATCTTTATTGGCATCTCTCTGTCTTATTTTAGCGCTCTTCTCTTATTTTCTTTGTTTATCCTACAAGAGAAATAAAATTCAGAAACGATCATACTCTTTCCTTGATAGCAGCGATCAATTGCACTAAGGTCGCCTCCTCCTCTTTCAGGACCTATGCTTGTTACCCTAATTGGAGAACCTTAGGTTTTTAGGATTTTTCTCTCTCTTATTCATCTATGGCTAATTGTGCTGCCTCCTCTAAAATCTCTTTTGCCACCAATGTGTATGACCTGACAATCTATACTATGTCAATGTGCACTTGTCCATTGATAAGTTAGATGACACTAATTGTGCGACTTGGGCGTCAAACATTAAACTTTGGCTTAAGAGTCAGGAGTATCTTGATCATCTTACTCAAAGAGTGACTGTTATTGCTCCCAATGAAGTTTCTTATTGGAAGTCCTATATCAGTGGGAAAGAATGTTATATATTGATATTGATTGTTGGAATATGGATGAGGTGAATGATGAAGTCCAATCCCAGCTTTCTATCAACTGAATTTTAAATTTCTTTCAAAACAACTTTCGACTTCAATATTTGAGCCATTGTGAATTTCAATTTACAGAATGGATTCAAATCAGTTTTTTATTGCATATATAATTGACAAGAGTTAAATTTGTGATAATGATAGATATTTTCCATGTACATGTGGTTCAACAACCCTAACCCTAAGTGGCAACTTCGACTAAATTGGTGCACTTGCCAAAATAAACCATTTTGATTAGTAACTACTTTAAAAGATGAATTTCATGACTATAATACCAATTAGATTACAAAATTTTTCCTGTCAGTTTACACAAGCTCTGACACAGAATTGAAGAGTGTACCTCATCCCCTGCAAATAATAGAAAAATTCTAGTCATAACCTAATAAAAAATGTTGCTTCATAAATACTATCAAACCCACGAGGTCTTAAATCTTCAAACAGAATAAGAAAACTAAAAACACATCATCTGTCAACACTGGATATTTTTTCTTCATTTTCGCAAAGAATTATAAACAAAATTGCTGACTTGTGCAGCTTGGTCATAGGTTTCAAATCTTGGAATCAGCCTCTGGCATACAAGGCTAAGACTGTGCATATCCACCCTCCATAAACCCCACCAAGCCAGAAACTCATGCCCTAGGACAGCCTATTGTTACAAAAAAATGTGAAACAACTAAACAACATGCCTTACTGCACAAAAACATCAGCAGATTGGATTGACATTGCATGGAGAAAAGTTCCTACTTGCCAAACACATAGAACACCATATGGATATCACCCAAACTCTAAAATTAATTGAATAAACAAAAAGTCCATAACTACAATTTCAGAGTAAATATATGTTTTATCCCTTCAAAGAATATTCCATAATCCACATTACATTACCTCTAATCCATTATTATAAGAAATATTAAACTTGGCACTTCAAAGATAATGCCATCAGTTTCAATTAGATATTATAATGAATGGACGTTAAAGGACTAATTTTAAGTATTTAAAAAGGTAAGAATAACATGACGACATGTGTTACTACCTCTAGATGTTGGCAACACAATTTTTTCAATAATCTCTGCTATCGGTTGAATTCCATGTAGTTCCCACAAAGAGAAAGACAAGACGACACAAAATTCATCCAAAAATGTATTTTAAAGAATATGATGCTAGTCTTGCTTTTTACAATATTTTGAAGGCGTAAAATATACACGTTTACACCAAAATTTATATATTTTAGTTATTTTCATATTTTTTATGATTATATATTATAACATAAAATTTCATACGTATAAGTGTCAATCTCAATTTGATCCCTACAAGTAAAAGTTTAATGCAGACAAACACATTGAACCGGAGATTAAACCTCACAATCTCCGAATTCATAATTTTCCCCCAAAGAATGTTTGGAAATGGAACAACAAAAAAAGCATTCCAACACATTAAGAGCAACAAAACACATTGAAAGTGTTACAGTCTCACCGAGGACAACGTTGACGCCGAGTTTGTACCTCCGTATTAGCCAGGAAACCCCTTCCACCTGGTGCGGCTTGAGAGTCGCCCTGAGCCCGAGCTCTTCCTCACACGACGGCACGTCGCCGGCGCGTGCCTCATCGTCTAGTATGATTTTGGCAACGACTTGAAGTTTCTGTTCATAGCTAAGATTCATGGCGTCGATGTGCGTCGAGTCGGTTGTTTGGGAAGCTTTAGAAGCAAAGAAAGAACGAAACGGCTACTCGGTGGTTTTGAAAATATGCGGGTGCTAAACACAATTTTAACATCACTTGCAAAAACATATTTCTGCATTAAATTAGATTATAAGGTAATAGCGAATTGACGTTTACATGTTAATAATAATGGTGCAAGTCACATTTATCCCTAAAATCAATTCAAAATATACAAGTGACTGCAATTTTTATATATCAATATAAAAAGATGTATTATCGACGAAAAATAATAATATTCAATTAGATTTAAAAGTTATTTTTTTAACTTTAATTATTTTAATTTTTTATTAAAATTAATTTCTTGATAATATATCAAAATTAAATAGAATAATAAGTATATATTAAAAATGTATTAAAATTAAAATTAATATACATATTGACATATAAAATAGAAAAAGTCAAATTTTAACTCGATAAAATAAATTATAAAGAATAAAGAATGAGAAAAAAAACAGTTTTAATAGTTATTTCAAAGAGATAAATCAATAAAAGAACAAATAAAATGGTATGTTTGATTATAGTATCTCCTACATTCAGTCATACTCATGGGACAATTGCAACCCTTATCAAAACGGTAATTTTAGTTGTGATTCTATGCATTATTGATACCATATGGTTCACTATAAATACGGTTTGTTTCTGAAGTAAGAGTTTTTCTTATAATAGATTTAGTAATAGGCTTTGTACCGAACTACAACCGATCAATCACCATGACGACAAAGTTTTTCAACCATCTAATAGATTGTTGACTGACTCAATATTAGATTCATAGTATCAAATCAGATTAAAATTGATTAACTTTTTTTGAGTCACAGAGCTGAAATTCACTATAAAATTTATAAATAAAAATTTGAGTTAAAAAAATAAAGTAGATTACACACTAATTATAACATTTATTATTATTTATTTAAGTTTATTTTACTTTTGTTTACACAAGAGTCAACATGGTTGGATCTTAATGCAATTTTAGTATGAAATCCAATTCTTCATATATCTTGTAAAAGGGGAGAGAGATTTTGTTGGAATAAACTTAAAATTTAGAATGGATTTATTTGTAATTTCTCAGAGTCTTTATTTTACTTAAGTGTAGTATTTTTGGGTTCTATTTCTTTTGCCGCATGCGTCTGTTTCCATTTTCGTTTTATATTGTGTCAGATTGTGGAGTTTGGGCTGTTTCTTGTTTCAGTTGTTCAGTTTATATTTTGTAAAGTTCTGTTACCCCTGCCGCTATTTAAAATAGTTTGCGGCACTCAATTTATAATACACTGAATTATCAGAAATATTTTTTTGGTGTGTGTTGCTGGGTTTGTTTATTTAACAGATTTTACGAAATTGATAGAAAAAGAAAAGGCAGTCCACTTAGTAAATTTCTCTGTATTGATATTCAGACAATATTTTGCTAGACGAAACTTTATTTGGAATTTCAATTTCAATTCTAAACCACTGAAAAAAGAGCAGAATGGTCCATTCCCTCTTAGAATGAGAAGGGAAATTGATGGTTAAAATTAGAGGCTGCGCAGGAGAATGCCTTCAAAAGTAATTCCTGGACCAAATGCCAGTCCCAAGCCCCATTCTTCAGCACCATCTTTCAGAAACTCCCTCATGTACTCCATCACATAGAATATAGTGTTGCTGCTAACATTGCCATAGTCCATCAGTGCCTTCCTACTGCACTCTAACTTGTCACTGCTCAACTTCAGGGTACTCTCAAGCTTGTTCAGAATTGCAGGCCCTCCAGGGTGAACTGCCCAGAACAAATCATTGAACTCCTTCACACTGCTTTTGGCCATCAGCTTTCTGCAGAACTCTTCTATGTTGTCTTCAATTTTCTGAGGGAGATCTCTTCCAAGTTTGAAGTTTATGCCTTCTTCAGAGAGTCTCCCATCAATCACACTGTGTGTCTCAGGCAGAAACTTTTGGACTGCATAGCTCAATTCCATGAAGGGAGACTCTTGACCCACCACAGGGTTGGCTCCAACTATGACAGCTGCAGCTCCATCACCAAAAAGTGCAGCCCCCACAAGATCATAAGGCCTGGCCTTGTTGGGGGGTCTAAACCCAAGAATGGTGGTCTCAGAGGTAGTGACCAGAACCCTGCTACCAGGGTTGTTCTCTGCAATGTCCTTGGCCACTCTCAGGCCTGTGACACCACCATAGCAACCTAGAAAGTACAGCATTACACGGCCAACGTCACTCCTGAGACCAAGCTCATTTGCCAAGTAAAGGTCACCACCTGGTAGCCTTATTTCACTCGAGGAAACATACACGATGTGGGTGATGTCTTGAGCAGGCCTTCCCCATTCCTTGATGCAGCAAAGGCTGGCCTTGGTAGCCATCTCTACCACTGCAGGGTTCGCTATTTCAAGCTTCTGCTTTATGGTTGGGGAACCCTCTGTCGCCAACTCTGGATACTTGTCAAGGATCTCCTTTGACATCACTGTGTACCTTGTCTTCACAGTGGTGTTTTTACCTGAAAAATGGAAAATCAAGGAACAAAAGATAACAGCTTAGCTTACTAATATTTTCAATAGTTCAGGTTATGCATATTTCCAGATCCACAATTGTAGTCACTAAGATTCTATCAACATGTCTCTAAGATTTCTTACTCGTGAGTCATTTACGATTAAGAGGTATATAGACATTTTTGCGACAAGATCTATTAATTTACCTAGAACAAATAAGTTTTTATTCTTTTTCCTTGGTATTTTCAGTCCATGATCATATAAAGCAATATCTGTTTTGCATGTGTCAAAAACTTTTCTTTCTTTATTCTTGGTTTATAAGGATTGTTTCTAGAAGTTCCTTACCACGGAAACAATGGTTGGAAATTTCTAGAACGGTAAGAGTTTTCTAAGATCTGCACTAAGAATTTAAACTTAATTTAATTCAATAAAACTGATTTCTAAAATGAAGTTTGTATTTTGTATGAATTGACTTTATCGACTTTCAACATCACTGGTTTAAAACAGTCACAAAAGAGAAAGTAAATAAGTAATATTGCACTTACAGAGACGTTCCAATTTCTCCTTAATATAAGCATCTACGCACTTAGTGTCACGGATATAGCCCTCAACCAAACACTCCTGAGGGATGATTTGGCTAGGGAAAGCCTTGCCTATGGCAAGTATGGTGGCCTTCCCTGGTGTAGGCACACGCCTAGTATTAGTAGTGAGTGCAGCATGCTGCGTGGAGCTACCGTTGGAATCACCTTGTGGCATTTTTTCTGAGGTTTAAGCAAATGCTGTTACTTACTACTGTAGAGACAATGAAGACTCACACCACACAGAGAATTCACAAGCTATCTGGTTATAAATGAAGCATGGCATGCGAAGGAAACGAGGTTGGTGTGAAGCAAGTCCAGCATGTTGTGAGAAATTGTTACCTTAGTGAAGTTTGGTGGCATTTTGATGTTCATGGTTTAGATGTGTGAGGGGTTTCACAGCTCAACAATCTTTTACTTTCTCAGTTTAGCACCGAATCCATTTCTAATTTTGCAACACTTATTCGTCACTGTCAAGTGTCACACAATATAACAGCATATATTACACTAAGGTTGGTTTGAGAGGGAATGTGTACAATAATTTTTATTTATAATAGAAATTATTTTAAATATTAATAATTTTTAGTTTATAAAATAATATGTATTGATTCATTATTTTTATCTTTAAAATTTGTTACTATTTAATGATTTTCTTAATACTTTATAACATTAAAAACGTTTTTACCTGTTAAAAATAAAAGTTAAAAAATATTTTCAAATCTTCTTCATTTTTATAATATCGTGATAATACTTATATAATTTTATATGATAACACGTTAAATTATTTTTTTGTAATGAAGCTATTGGATAATTTTTACTTTTATTATATATTTATTATGTAATCTGAATAAGTTAGATTCGTGAAGTTTAAAACTAGGGAATTGATTACTCAAATTTAGGTACTTTCTTTTGTTACCTCCTTAAATTTCTTTTTTTTCATTCTCATAAATTTGGATTGTGTAATTCTTTTAATGGCTTACATTTAAGGGGTCTGAGCCAATGATTTGATTTGTTTGTGACAAGAAAAGGATTTTTTTTTTTTACCAAAGTCATTTTCTTATTGGCTACTCAGATAAAATTTTATTTTGGTTAATTAACTTTGTTAGTAGAAAAAAACTTGGGACGTTGGATTTATGAAACGAGAGTTCTCTTACAAATATATTTTAAAGGGGATATGGTGAAAGTATTTTTAACTATAAGGAGACTTCGTTAAAATTTTAATAAAATTACTTTAGGTTTTGGATTAATCAATAAAAAAGAACAACCGATTAAAATTTATTTATTTTACTTAAGGCATAAGTGATCGTTATTAGGCCGAATCTAATTTAATTTAACATTCAACTAAATCTAATTAATATAATTAAATTTAACTTTCAATTTTAAGAACCTACAAAATAGAGTGTTAAAGTTTATAGGTATATTAAAATAATGAGACACAATACTTTATTATGAAATAATTTTATAATATAAATAATTTTTTTTAAACTCGTTCCATTATTTAAATCACACTCTATCTCTCTGAAACAATTTTTTTTTGTTTTCTTTCACTTCTCTTTAAGTGTTCTAACTCCTTGATCATCTGTTTACGATCAAGAGATACTTAGACGATCATGGCGTAAATGTATACAAATTCAACTGATCAATTTGCTATTTAGAATAAGTAAGTTGGTAACCCCTTCTCTTTAGTATTTTTAGGATTCATGATCATGCAAAGAGATTATGTTTTGCATGTGTCAAGAATATCTCTTCCTCCATTCTTGGTTCAATTGAGGTTCTAAAGTCTATCTCCAATCACCAATCGATGATTTATAGGTGTTTTTAGAAGTTCCTTGCAGTGAAAGCAAACGTTGGGGATTTCTAGAACGGTAGAAATTTTCTAGAGGTAAGGGAAGCTAAATTGTTCTTTAATTGATGTTTGTAGTGTAAGTTTGAAGATTATATGAGTAGTAAACTGTTTAAGTGAAAATTATGTAATGTGCAAGTTGTAACAAAAGTAATTAAGCGTT